ACACACACACACACACACACACACACACACACACACACACACACACACACACACACCCTCTGTGATGTCAGACTTGCAGATAAAAACAGTCATCTGTGTCTAAGAGCATTACAGGCACACGCATACACAACAGTCCATTTAAAAAGGTCTCAGATTTGCGATTTAAATGTCAGATTGAGCACAATGCTTTGTCACACAGTAATAGATATTTATGAATCATTATTTGCTTTAAGCCTTAACAAATTCTATTACCCAGAAGGCAAATCTACCTAAAACTGTTAATATTTCTTATTGTCTAAAAAAATTATAAAGGAAAACATGATTAATAAAAACATAATTTTACTATAAAACACAGATGTATTTTTAAATGACAAAATAAGGAAAATAGAGAAGGGTGAATGTAACCCTTTTGGGAACAGAAAAATTAAAATGTTGCAATATACTGATTTATTTTTTTTTTTTTGTCATGATTATGCTCGGGCTGTATGATAGCATTGTGTTATAGCTTTGTTTTGAAATAGGGTGATGTATTCAAAAATCTTGACATTATTAAGCCTGGTCACATGACCTATTTAAACTGCTCTAGTCATAAAGATATGCTTTCTCTGAGACTTTCAATTTGTGTCAAAAGTAGAGACTTCAAACTATACACCAGTTTTTACATTGTGTTAGGCCAAAAAAAAGAATAGATCTATGATAAATAGTATGCACCACAAGGGCAGCTGTGGTTGTTAGGTCAGGGGAGTTGTTTCTGTAATGCGAGGGTTGGTAGTTTGATCTCACTACTATTTAGTCACACATCGAAATGTCTTTGGGCACACCCCTCCCCTTTCCGCCTTGCCCCAGTAATGTTTTATACCGCAGTATTATCTGAAGATACTATGTTGGTATGAAAAAAGATCAAATGGTAAATGCTAATTGGACTGTACTTATATTACCTTTCTACCCAACCAGGATACTCAAAGCTCTTTGCACTACAATGCCATTCATACATCACTCTACTATGACTCTACAAAGTTAATCTACTGTAGATAAATCAATCTGTATAGACTAACCAGTGCTTTAAATCACATTCATACACTGATAGGACACACGTTTGACGTAGTGGGGGTTCAGTGTCTTGCCCTTCAACATGTGACTGAATAGTGGTGGAATAGAACCCTCAGCTCTGTCATTGGAGTGGAAGGATCCAGCGTGGTTATTATTTCAGGTGATCATGTTTTCACTGCTGTGGTCCTGYCATGGTAAATGGTAAATGGACTGACCTTATATAGCGCTTCATCAAGCCCCATAGGGACCCGTCAGGGATTCTTCCAATAACCAACAAAGTAGCTTTAAACCTGTCAAAATTGATCTGTTTCTTATCTTAATCAGGCACAAGTTCATGTTTGCTGTCATTTTGCACACGTATTATATTTCCTGTGCAACGATATTTGACCTGACTTTATCTGCTTTTTTCATCTTGCTGCATATTTAAAGTGAATACTTACCATATGTGTGATTCACTCACCTTAAATGTGCTTTTAACAGTGTGATGATGTATCCATCTTCTCCATTGCCTCTTCTGTTTCCATTTTTAGCTCATAGTTTTTGCCCCACTTTTTTTTTCAGCTCATCTCTGCTGGCACTAATTACTAATTAACTTTCCTAAAGTCCCACAGCCCACTTTAGATCCCAGAGGAAAGCATCTACATGTAGTATTTAATCACTCAGTGTGTATGTGCCGAAGTACATGCAGAGGCCACAGTGTGCCCATACGGCAATTCATACCACAGAGTATTTGAGAATGAACAACATGAAAAAAAAAWTTTAAATAATGTTTTTTGATTGTGTGTTATTGTTTTTTGATCAACAGGAGGCAACAATATGACATCAGACATGCAGGAAATCGCCATCACAGAGGACAAGCCTTTACTTACGGGTCACACTGATCCCGCCAAGGTTAGAAAAGCTGTAAACTATTGCTTGAAATATATGTGCATGCTCTGTTTGTATCCTAATGTGCATAAATCATGCAAAAATACAAATATTTGTAGATTTATTGCAATCCACGAACACAAGGACATATTCAGTGAGCGTTAGCTACAAAAATTAAACATACAGTAGCTGTTAAAACACAAGAGCTCGTCAGTCCTGTTCTGTTTGAATGTGCGTATTTGTGCCTTTGAGTCTGAGCAAATCGAACAGTTTAACAACCTGTTTTCTGAGCACATGTGAAAACTCTTTGCATGCTAGTTTAAGTGTGCATGTCTACATTATGTGTGTGTGAAGCTGCAGCAGCGTTCGCTTATATCTGCCAGGTTGACGTCAAAGCCCCAAGGGACTGAGAGCAGATCCTGCTCTGCTTCTGCAGCTTTGCTTCTGCAGCTTTGCTTCTGCAGAGCAGCTTCAGCATGAAAGCGTTGGTGCAGAGAGCAGAGCTGTTTGTGTCTCACTGCTGATACCTGGTGGACAAAAAGGGAACTGCAGCTCTCTGACAAAAACACAGTTAGGAAGTCAACTCCAAAATAGACACATCTCAAAAAGCAATCAAACATGTACTAAGTTGTTTCACACCAGAGTATTTATTAAATAAATCGAAATAATAAAACAGTCATGTAGTTCTTATTTTTAGTATAAAAATGTTGCTCCTCTGTAACTGAGAAGCAAATTTCTTTATGACTCTCTGGTTCAAGTCAGGGATGTTTTAACCAGATTCTTATAGATCATGGTCAGTGCAGTGCAGAGTCACAGTCTCTGAAGGTGTCCTGCAGATTGTTCTCCATGAAGAGCTGGGAKAGAGTCACAGCACCACTGCAGTTCCTGACTAGATCAGACTTCTTGGTCCTGTTCAGCACTGGGTGAGCCTCCATGCTCTTCAGAGCTGCTTCAGAGAACTGTCCTGCAGGAATCTGTCTGCCTGCAGCAGTGAAGCACTGATCAGATGTTTTGCGAATGGCTCAAGATGGAGTCACAAACCTAAAAAACATAAATGCACAAATTTAATTCAATATGGAGATGGCTACAAGTGAGCTTTCTAATATATTTTTAATATGTAGAGAACAATTAATGTTATTTTAATAGTAACAAATTGTTGCATCTCTAAGGTAAACTATTATATTTTTGTTTTAAAAATGTGTTTATTTCATTAAAAAAGAAAATAAATGCTATGTGCAACAGAAGAAAAAGATAAATAAAATGAAAGGCAGCAAAAAGAAGAAAAATATCTTCTATTATCTGTCAAAAACATAAGCAACATAAAAATATATAATTTTAAGTTGTGTTCACCATTAACATATAATATACAGTACATGATATACTGTGATTAACAAGCTTTAAAAAGTATTTTAGCTTTTCTTTTACCTGTTTTAATCCATGGATCAGATCCTGATGCTTGAAAAACATTGGTTACGCACTGTAACCACTACCTGTTGTGTGAGGTCAGCTGCGGGGCGGCCACAAGCTGAGCCCCAGACCACCCTATTCTTTTGCATTGGGGACTTACTGCGCATGTCCAAAATCTTACAATGACTTGTCTATGGGAATCTGGGGTGGCAAACAGCTCGTAACCCAGAAGTGACTCAACACAAAAAAGCTCATGAGTAAAATGAAGTTTACACATCAATAACTCTAAATTATTTATTTTACTTATCAGAAAACATATATACAATATTTTTTTCAAAATATTTATAATACTTTATCTTGTTTTATTTATTATAATTTTTTTGTGTACCAAAAATAGTGGTGGGGCGGCACCCTAGCGCCCCTATTGACCAGCCACCACTGCTTGAGGACCAAGGAGCGCACATTAAACAGACATGCTAATAATAGACAACAAAAGTACATTTTTAGGAAATTTGATCGTGTGCTAAAACTATAAATACATAAGAGGAAACATTAACTGGTATTAAAGTAAAATAGGTTTCTGGAGAATTGGTAGCCAAATTAAGTTGTTTCTCTAAATCTTGAGATGGCGTTAAGTGTGGATTCTCTTGGCCACCTAGTGGAGGAGTGTGGGTATTTTGGCATTTTTGTTAGAAATATGTGAATGGAGATTTATTTAAAAAAAATAAAGGACATTTTTGAAAATATATATATATGTGTGTGTGTGTGTGTGTGTGTGTGTGTGTGTGTGTGTGTGTGTGTGTATAATATGTATGTATGTATGTATGTATGTGTGTAATATGTATGTATGTATGTAATATGTATGTATGTATGTATGTATGTGAGTATATATGTGCATATCAGAGGTCGCGTTAATGGAATATTTTTTTCGTATTAAAACAATGTTAAAAACAAATATGTATTCAGCTGATGAAACTACTTTTATGTTTCTGACAGGATGCCGCTGAGCTAGCTGCTAGGATACTCTTGGACCAAGGACAGGTAAGTCTGCATTAATCTCATAATCTCAGTTAAATGAACCAAACAATACATTTGCTTGAAATCGAAAGATAAAAATTGGTAAGTCTCTTTCAAAAACAATGCAATACTTGTGAAGTGTTAACTTACTGTGATGTGAGCTCCAAAGAAACCAACGTTTTGTCAAGAAGAGTCCCTAGGGCTGGATAATCACGTCAGAAAATGAAATGTGCAAATAAGCTGCAAAAGGCTCGATAAATATTACACATCAACCTGTGAAACTCGTGTTCTCTGCCAGAGGCAACATATTACAAAAGTTTATCAAACCTGAAGTGTGAAGGAGTACAAGATTCTCAGAGACATGATAAAGGTAAACATTGGAGGTGGAGGAATCGCTTTTTTGAAGTTTTAATGAACAGAAACATGAGAGCTAGTTTGACCTTTTTGACTGAAGATGATTTAAGAGTCAACATCCAGCCCCTCTGACTGACAGGAGTCAACAACACTTGATAATTTCATGAACTTTACAAAACACAGATTTCATATGCATTCAAGCAGTTTGATGTTTAGTTTCAGTATTTTTATTGGTCTACAGCTGCATTTAWATTAGATTTAATTAGGGTTATTACAAATGTAGACTCCCCAAATCACTCTCCGCAAATGCTAGTGGAGTGGCAGCCTCGTCTGATACTTATGGAGCCTGCAAGGTGCCGATTAAAAGAACCTGTTGCACTGTGCTACACTCTCCCTGACTTCAACAACCTGTTAGACCTGTTAGAATATGGCTGGACTGAGGCAAATTTAGAACCCTTATTTCAGTGTGAAGAAAATCTTGACTCTATTGTGGTCTCAGCATCCCCAGCACATTTTTATTTTTTATTTAAATTTTTTATGCCTTCAGTTTTTTCATGCTGGCACAGCTCTCTATATAACCATGTCACGTTGGCATATGCTACCACCACAGGTTTCATGTCCTGTTGATTTCATGATCTTGTCACATTCACAGCCTTAGCCCTGATTTCATGATCTTGCCACATTCACAGCCTTAGCCCAGGCAAAAGAAGAGCCGTCCTATTTAAAATTGAACGTCCCTCCACGATGTGCAGACCCCAAAACACCTGGTGTACTGCAGTACTTGATGGCCTTGATTTCACTTAGCAAAACCGTTACCAAGACTCTGTGAGCCTTACTAAGAGGCCCCGGACCTTACCAAATCTATTGACTTTACCAAGACTATGTGGACCTTGCCAAGGCTATTGACCTTACCAAGACTCAGTGAACCTTACCAAGAATCTGTGGACCTTACCAAGACTATGCGGACCATACCAGGACCCTGTGGACCTTACTCAGAGACCCTGGACCTTATCAAATATTTTGACTTTACCAAGACTGAGCGGACCTTACCAAGAATCTGTGGAACTTACTAAGAGGCCCTGAATCTTATCAAAGCTATTGACTTTACCAAGACTGAGTGGACCTTACCAAGAATCTGTGGACCTTACTAAGAGGCCCTGGACCTTACTAAAGCTATTGATTTTACCAAGACTGAGTGGGCCTTACCAAGAATCTGTGGACCTTATCAAGATTGTGCGAACCATACCAAGACTATGTGGAGTTTACCAAGACTCTGTGGACCTTACCAAGACTGCATCAAACTTTCCACGACTCTGTTGACCTTACCAAGACTCTGTGGCTATACCAAGACTCAGTGAACCCTACCAAGACTCTGTGGATCTTACCAATACTCCATGGACCTTACCAAGACTCGGTGGACCGTACCAAGACTCTGTGGATTTTACCAAGACACTGTGGAACTTACCAATACTTTTTGAGCCTTTCCAAGACTCTGTGGCCCTTACCAAGACTCTGTGAACCCTACCAAAACTCTGTGGATCTTACCAATACTCCATGGACCTTACTAAGACTCTGTGGACCGTACCAAGATTCTGTGGGTTTTACCAAGACACCGTGGAACCTACGAATACTCTTTGGGCCTTTCCAAGACTCTGTGGACTTTACCAAGACTTTGTAGATTTTACCAAGACATTGTGAAACTTACCAATAGTCTACGGACCTTACAGAGACTATGAGGGCCTTACAAATACTCTGAGGCCCTTACCAAGACTCTGTTGACCCTACCAAGACTCCATAGATCTTGCCAAGACTCTGTGGACCTTACCAAGACTCAGTGGACCTTACCAAGAATCTGTGGATCTTACAAATACTCCATGGACCTTACCAAGACTCCATGGACCCTACCAAGACTCTGTGGATTTTATCAAGACTCAGTGGAATTTACCAATACTCCATGAACCTTACCAAGACTTATTTATGTTTTGGCTAATTCTTCACCTTGCAGCAGTGTTTGGAGGCAAATGAAAAACTACTGTGCTATGATTCATTTCTTTGTTGTCGACTTCAGGAGCACAGCGTTGAGACCCCCCATGGCATTCTACACGTGACCCTCCATGGCACACGGAACACCCGCAGGCCCGCCATCCTCACCTTCCACGATGTGGGTCTGGACAGTAAGTCCCCCTCCCCCTTCTACTCAGCCTCATCTAATTCATGCTCAGCCGCTCATCTTTCTTTTCATTTGCAGGTAAGAGCTGCTTCTCTACTCTGTTCAAGTTCGACGAGATGCAGGAGATCATCAAGAACTTCACCCTGATTCATATTGATGGTCCGGGACAAGAGGAGGGGGCTTCCACTTACCCCCCAGGGTATGACGTTCTCTCAGTGTGATAGTGGGTTGTAATGACCAGCTGGTGCTTCATCAGTGGAAAGGATTTTTTTTCTTAAAGTAAGTGTCTTGGAACAATCTTCTGTACAAGCTTAAAAGTAATCCCCTCTAAAAATACCCAACATTCTTAATTCTCATATCTCTCAGTTTAATACTCTTTTGTAAGAGGGTAAAACTAAGTCCTCCATATTTCTCTTTCTACACATCTTACTCCCTGCTTCTCAGGGTGACTCTGTTGCTTTTCTTTGATTGTTTTTATGGCTCAGGAGGATTTCGATGCACATCTTGAACCAGCACTAACCTGCGACCCCGATGATGATTCAACAGACTTTTGTGTTTTTAATCCCAGTGAGCAGACGAGTTAGTTGTATGTTTCCTTTAAAGTAGGTCAAACCTGAAAATCAGGCTGCCTTATTGTTAGCTATTAAAACTGTCCAGTTATTTGAAATGGTTTAAAGGGATTCATAGTTGTAACATAAAACTTTATTTAATAAACCTATATTTTATCCGTAAAATAAAGACTGTAAAAATACTGTAGGATGTTCAGTTTTTATCATTTTTAAACTAAAAGTTTAAAAATATATTACACGGACGGGGCCATTTTATATACACGCAAAGCATTCTGGGTAAATGATGGCATGGATAGGTCCTCTGTGCGAGGCTGCTAGCGAGCTATATCCACCCTGAAGGTTAATCTTGGACAATATCTGACGATTGGCTCTTTTAAATGAAACCAGAGAGCGTTGACAGAGAGGAGAAGGTAGAAATGACTCAGTCTGTAACTGAAAATATGGAAGGACAACAGAGCTGCTTCATGGAAGAAGAACCTCAGCTTAGCCTGTTAGCTTTAGCATTAGCCCCGACGCTATCACCATTTATATGTATTAGCTCAGCGCTACACATTCTCCTCGTCACTGAGGTTCTTCATCCACATGACAGAGAAGGGAACGCAAAAGTGACTCAACCTGCAACAGAAAATATGGATGGAGGACCTCAGTTTAGCTTGTTTGTCGAGCTAGCTCTGTCAACGCTCTCTGGTTTCATTTAAAAGAGCCAAACTTCAGATATTGTCCAAGATTAACCTTCAGGGTGGATACAGCTCACTCATACCGATGATCTATCCATGTCAGCATTTACCCAGAATGCTTTATGTTTAAATAAAATGGCTCCGTCCATGTTAAAATATATTTTTTAAAAATTACTAAATGAAACAGTCTACAGTATTTTTACCATCTTTATTTTACAGTTAAAATATGTTTATCAAATAAAATCTAATGTTACAACTAATAGGGGTCCCTTTAAGGAGATCRGAGGCCAGAAATCCTTCCCATATCAGATATTATGTTCATCGTAGACTTTTTTCTTAAAGTGTGAACATTTTTTTTTTTATTTTTACTTGTCCTTGTAGTTATCAGTATCCCTCCATGGAGACCATTGCAGAGATGATTCCTGCTGTGCTGCAGTTTTTCAGGTGAGTCAACATCATTTGATTTTGTTCAAACTCATTTCTGCTGTTGCACACTCACACAGACTGTCTGCAAATAAACATGTTTTTTGTAGTTTGCTGTGTTCATGGGCTTACATTAGGTTGCAAAATTATTTTCCCCCTAGTATTCTTTCTGTTTTGTTGCTTTACCACCTAGAATATAAATAGATTTTCAATCTGATTATACATAATCTACACAAACTCTCCAGATTGGTGAATAAAAATGGGTTTTATTCACCCTCCCAAAGCCAATGCTTTGTGGATCCACGTTACATTAAGTCTCTTCAGGTTCGTCGTCACAAACTCAATCCATCAAGCCACTGGGATTGTTTTCCTATTCCTCATGACCAAACTGCTGCAGCTCCATCAGGTTGGGCAGGTGTTGCTTGCATCAAACAATCTTCAAATTAAATCAGAGTGTGAACATTTAACAGTTTCTCCGTAACACAATATAGTGTGCCAGGGTGTCCACTGGTCATTAAAAAATCTTGAAAAGTCTTATATTTATGTTTCTAAAATTAAGGGTCTTTAAAAGTATTGAATTTATGAATAATGTGTAAAGTTAGTCTTGAATATGTTACTCAAGGTTTTGTCAGGCAGGAAGGATTTAAGTTCTTTGTCTCTACTGCAGATTTCTTAAAGGTGAAGAGGAGGAGAGAATAAAAACATGTGTTGTTGGGGGCTTCTATCTGGCTAGATTTGACTGACGCTGCTTTCAACCAATAAAGAGAACCAGAGTCACAGTTTTAGCCAGTGAGAGCAGAGCAAGGCGGGTGCTTCAGTCTGTAAGCAGAGAGACGGATTGCAGAAGTAAACACAAAGTTCACTTTTAGTCTGATCACATCTTCTTCCACATGTTTGAGGAAGAAATGTCAAATGGACCATCTTATTTTTTTCTTTAAGTTATGGGTTAGAAAGCTATTTGTCGAAGAATCCCAGTGAGCAGCTTATAGTGGTCCTTTTGCCAGATGCTCCTATCTCTGCGGAAGAGCTACTCTGTTTCATCAGGGTTTTCTTTGGCCTCCAAGTTTTGGTGGACAACTCACATATGGCAGGTTTGCTAAGATAAGATAAGATAAGATAAGATAAGATAAGATAAGATAAGATAAGATAAGATAAGATAAGATAAGATAAGAAAAAACTTTATTGATCCCACAGTGGGGAAATTTGCACATTACAGCATCTCAAAATAGGACAGGGTGAGATCGAATAAAGAAAGTTAAGTAAAAAACAAAACAAAAAAAAAACACTATACTCGTGATATACAACAGTGTACATATACCTGGTACAGTACATAAATGAATATATATGCAGGTGCATATTACTGATGGCAGTGTAGGTGAATTGCCCAAGTGACTGATAACATTATGATGTGTTATACAGTCTAACTGCAGTTGGAATGAATGAACTACGAAAGCGCTCCGTCCTGCAGCAAGGATGTTTAAGTCTCTGACTGAAGGAGCTGCTCAGCCCCTCCACGGTTTCATGCAGAGGGTGGTGGGGGTTGTCCATGATGGCTGTCAGCTTTGCCAACATCCTCCTCTCACCCACCACTACCACCGGCTCCAGAGGACATCTCAAAGCAACATCTTTCCGTTTTCCAATACTGAATGTAATGGTGCATTATCAAGGATGATCAAGGACTGGGATATCTTGTCTCTGACCTGTATGGAGAGATTTTTGGTCTTCTTTTCTTTCCTTGCTGGTGGTAGACCATTCTACTTTGAGATATTCTGAGATTGTTTGACTCCTGGATTTGCCCACAGGTGGGAAAATTGTGTGGCTTCTAAAGTTAACGGTTGAAGCTTCAAAGCAAAGCAGGCAGATGCTTATGCACCACCTTTTTAGTTTTTACAATGACATAAAACAATTTTATTTCATTTACCTTAATCMACAGGTGCTGGTCATAAAATTAGAATATCATGAAAAAGTAGATTTATTTCAGTAATTCCATTTAAAAAGTGAAACTTGTATATTATATTCATACATTACATACAAACTCATATATTTCAAATGTTTATTTTGTTTAATTTTGATGATTACAAATGACAACAAATGAAAATCTCAAATTCAGCATATCAGAAAATTAGAATCTTGTGAAAAGGTTCAAAATGGATGGCACCTGGTACCACACTCTAATCAGCTAATTAACTCAAACCACCTGCAAAGGCCTTTAAATGGTCTTTCAGTCTAGTTCTATAGGCTACACAATCATGGGGAAGACTGCTGACTTGACAGTTGTCCAAAAGACGACCATCGACACCTTGCACAAGGAGGGCAAGACACAAAAGGTCATCGCTAAAGAGGCTGGCTGTTCACAGAGCTCTGTGTCCAAGCACATTAATAGAGAGGCGAAGGGAAGGAAAAGATGTGGTCGAAAAAAATGTACAAGCAAGAGAGATAACCGCACCCTGGAGAGGATTGTGAAACAAAACCCATTCAAAAATGTGGGGGAGATTCACAAAGAGTGGACTGCAGCTGGAGTGAGTGCTTCAAGAACCACCACACACAGACGTATGAAAGACATGGGTTTCTGCTGTCACATTCCTTGTGTCAAGCCACTCTTGAACCACAGACAGCGTCAGAAGCGTCTTGCCTGGGCTACAGAGAAACAGGACTGGACTGCTGGTGAGTGGTCCAAAGTCATGTTCTCTGATGAAAGTAAATTTTGCATTTCCTTTGGAAATCAAGGTCCCAGAGTCTGGAGGAAAAGAAGAGAGGCACTTCATCCACGTTGCTTGAAGTCCAGTGTAAAGTTTCCACAGTCAGTGATGGTTTGGGGTGCCATGTCATCTGCTGGTGTTGGTCCATTGTGTTTTCTGAGGTCCAAGGTCAACGCAGCCACATACCAGGAAGTTTTAGAGCACTTCATGCTTCCTGCTGCTGACCAACTTTTTGGAGATGCAGATTTCATTTTCCAACAGGACTTGGCACCTGCACACAGTGCCAAAGCTACCAGTACCTGGTTGAAGGACCATGGTATCCCTGTTCTTAATTGGCCAGCAAACTCTCCTGACCTTAACCCCATAGAAAATCTATGGGGTATTGTGAAGAAGAAGATGCAATACACCAGACCCAACAATTCAGAAGAGCTAAAAGCCACTATTAGAGCAACCTGGGCTATCATAACACCTGAGCAGTGCCACAGACTGATCGACTCCATGCCACGCCGCATTGCTGCAGTAATACAGGCCAAAGGAGCCCCAACTAAATACTGAGTGCTGTACATGCTCATACTTTTCATGTTCATACTTTTCAGTTGGCCAACATTTCTATAAATCCTTTGTTTTTATTGGTCTTCAGTAATATTCTAATTTTCTGATATGCTGAATTTGAGATTTTCATTTGTTGTCATTTGTAATCATCAAAATTAAATGAAATAAACATTTGAAATATATGAGTTTGTATGTAATATATGAATATAATATACAAGTTTCACTTTTTAAATGGAAATACTGAAATAAATCTACTTTTTCATGATATTCTAATTTTATGACCAGCACCTGTATAGTATTTTATTTATGATGGACCTACACAGTCGTTAAGAAAATCCATTTAGAAACCAAGTTGTAAGGGACTAAAATAGAAAGAATACCAATGTGGGGAAATATTTTAGCAACCCACATTACAAATTGTGTTGGTACAAATTGTGTTAACTTTTCTCTTTGTCAGCTTCCGTACTGTCATTGGAGTGGGTGTGGGAGCAGGAGCATATGTCCTCTCCAAGTTCGCAGTGAGTAACTGTGCTTTCTAAACTTGTCATTTTTAATCATAAGGTGTGTTTTTCAAAACATAAAATTAGTAGTTGCCAACATTTGATGTTGCTTTAGTCACGCTGCTCCAGAATATTATAGCGAGTCCTGGAACAAGAATCAAGATTATATAATTCTCTTAAAAAAGAATCACAATTCAAAGCTTTGATTTTCTGACAGGCAGCTACCAGGGGAAGGAGTTTAGTCTATTAGTTGTGTGTTGCATTATTCTTTTATTATGTTGTGCTATTAAGAAGTTCATATTGTTGATATTGTTCAATAGATGTTTCTAGTGAATTATTTCCAAATTTAACTGTAGGTAAAGTAAAAGTTACTCAAAATTTAATAAAAAATTGTTATTCTTAAAACTGTTTTGACTATTGACTGTAAAAAGTCTGCACGCAAGATAATTAAAACTTTGTCTCATTAGCTTCTTTTATTTTCTTTTATTACATCCATTTCTGCACTTCAGACTGTCATATTTTATGATAAAAATGGCACAGGGGCACTTTGATTTTGGTAACATGTCCATCTACTCATCCATTACATTTACTCACTTCTTCCTACCTGGTCATGGGGGTCACCGATGCCTATGTCCAGTCATCACAATTGGAGTGTTGCTTCGATGTATAGGAGAAGTCATAGCATGGCCACTGGAAACTTACCAACAACAAGTAAATAAATGTGAAATAAGATCACAAAATGCTGTTTCTGAAAATACGGTGGCCGAGTTGAGGCCTCCATTTTCCTCTGTCGGTCAAGTCCATTTGGTCTAGCTCAGGAGTGAGTAATCCTGGTCCTTGAGGGCCACTCTCATGCATGTTTTACTTGTGTTCCTGCTCTAACACACCTGATCCAGTCTTCAGGTTCTGCTGAAGGCTGGCAATCTCCCATTTATTCAAATCCGGTGTGTTGGAGCAATTAGTAAACCATGCAGGATAATGGCCCTCAAGGACCAGGATCGCCCACCCCTGATCTAGTTTCATCGAAATTCTGTTATCAGCCAAAAATAAGGAATCGTCTGCACCACCTCATAGTACCAAAGTGTTTCCATTTTACTGGATGTATATATAGAATCCAAAAGTAATTAAAAAAAAAACAAATGCTGTGGTTTCAAGGGCTTAAAAGGTCTGTTTGATTCCTGTGAAGACGCTTTTATGATTGACTTCGCTTTCAGGCCAATCAATCGGCTGCAGTCCATCGACGTCGAAATTCCCCTCCATTCCCCTCACCTGGTACCTAGGTGAAGTAGGATCTAAGAACAGGGCTGAATGTGGGTGGGACCACCCAATGTAAAGATGCTGAACCTGTGCTGGGCTGACCTGGTAGCACTGAGTTGAGATGATGTAAAAGGACCAAAACAAAGGCCTAAGAGCTGGAGGTTAAATATCTCTTTTTTAGTAGCTCATGACTTTGATATGCGTTGTGAAGGTTATTCATCCAAGTGATGTAAGAGCCAACAGTGGTTCTTATTACAGTCACACTTCTCCCTAGAGATTTTCTGGCTACGTCTTTCTAGAAGTAAACTTTAGCGCAAACCTAACTTGCTGGATGGTTTAAGAAATCTCTCTGGCCTGGAAACACAGTAGGGTTTTTCCCAGGAGGAGCTGTAGAATGTCCCTGGGAAGAGGGAAGTCTGGGTTTCCATTGGGAACCTGTCACCTGAATAAGTGATAGAAACTGGATCACTGGATGGTTAGACAAGAGTTTACTTTGGGAAACGTTTGTCAATGTGGAATCAAATGAAAAAAGAGCAATTTGGCTATGCTCGTGCCAAACAAATTCCCGGTCAGAACCATCATGGGCGTATGGAACCTGTTTCAAACCCTTATTTTTGTTTCTGAGTCAGACAGCGTGAGAAATGAAAGACAACTTTACATATGTGGGTTTAGTGACACGCGAACCAAAACTGTGACTAAATAAAGGCAAAAAAAGAAAATAAACTGCAATTTAATCGACATATTTAAGACACCTTGTGACCAAATTGTAACAAATAAATATGCACATCATTCCCAAGATTGTAGCATGAATATTGCAGTTTTTGCAGCAATATTGCAAAGTAAAAACTTCACTGCTGCTGATTCAACTCTTACTGGATGAGGTAGCAGGTCTGCAATGCAGGAATGGATGTGTTGTCATGAATAAAACAAATATGATGGGGTGAGATATGAAACACCTTGGGTTCTCATTATTTCTTTTCTGTTTTGAACTCACCACCCACTATCTAGCTCGCAAATCCCGATTCAGTGGAGGGTCTGGTTCTGATCAACATCGACACTAATGCTCGAGGATGGATGGACTGGGCCGCTCAGAAGGTTTGTCTGGTCTTCGTCTTTAAGCGTCTGATAATTGACCTACTGTACTCAGAAACATGATACTATGATCTGCTTAGCCCTGAGGGGAGCTGTTCGTCATCTTAGGTTCAGCCTGGGATGGGAAATTAGGTGACTTCATCCAGGCTCTGTTCCCTACAGAGCTATTGATTGTGTGAATGTTTCTAATAGATATATGTCACAATGATAATCGAACAGCATCATTGATCTTCCTCTTTTTCCTCTTCTTCAGCTCAGTTCTGTGACTTCCACCTTCACAGAGCAGATCCTGACCCACCTTTTCAGTCAGGTACCAACAGTCAAAGTTTGATTTACCACGAAAGAACATGATGAGTGGATCATTTTGTATTTGCTGCTGATTCGCTTGAAATCATTTTAATAGGAGGAGTTGTCATCAAACACAGAACTAGTTCAGTCTCACAGAGAACGCATCTCTAAAGCCTCCAACCTGGCCAACATAGAGCTCTTCTGGAAGACGTACAACAGGTACAGCACTCCCACAATCATTTAACACGAAGACTCGCCGTCGAACAACCATTCACATCGCCTTTTTGTTCCTGCAGCCGCAGAGACCTGAACATCGACCGCAACTACTCTTTCAAGTAACAATGCTTTGTTTTTTTGTTTTTTTAATGTAAACCTGTAAAACATATCATCTGAGCTGTAATGTGTGTCCGTCTCAGGTGTCCCGTGATGTTGGTGGTGGGAGATTCAGCTCCGTACGAGGAYGCAGCTGTAAGTTTTACAGCAAACTCTCTGAGGCTTGTTTTGTGAAATGGAACCATTTTAATTATTGATTTTGTCTGTGACAACCAGGTGGAGTGTAACAGTAAACTGGACCCAACAACAACCTCATTCCTGAAGGTGAGGCATCCTGTTTATTGTCTCTGTCTCCTTACATTCTTTTCTCAGTAACTCYTGTTGTCTGCCCCCTCACAGATGGCTGATGCTGGTGGTCTCCCTCAGCTGACCCAGGTAACAAATACAAATCACACATTACTCAGGAATAATGTGGGTAATTTAAGATGATAAAGCATTTGCTGTAACTTTAAACAATTTAAATTTAGCGCTCTACATGGATCTTTGTGCTGGTCTTAAAATGTAACATGACTTTGTTTTTATTTTTCTCTGRAGCCCGCTAAACTTACTGAGGCTTTCAAGTATTTCATCCAGGGCATGGGCTACAGTAAGTTCACTGAAGTCTTCCTTTCTGAGCTCAAATACAATGGAAGTCACTAAGAGTTTCAGTGTTTACAGTCTGAGAGGATAATGAATTATACAAGGGGTGTTCAATTTGTGGGAAAAACAGTTTCAAAATATTTCTTMTTTGTCARGGGGTGGSAAAGAGTAGTGAAGCAAACATGATGATAAAAAAGCAAGGTCATCCACACAATGGTGCTTAGGCATGGACACCCAAATGAATACTGTCCAATCCTGGATGGGACCAGATATTTCCCTCATAGTCAGGACTTGGACTGACCCAGTAGTCTCTAACATACATAGCAGTGTTAGCTCTACCATTATCCAAGGAGGGCGCCCCGGCCGTTTTAGCCTACATGGACTACATWGGCTGTGACCTCCGTGGGCCGCAATCTAGGTAGACTTCAGCCCCTGAATTGWGGCACAGCCACACACACTTGACCAGAACCGAACACGCATGAATCGTTAAGAGTGAGAATCGACAGTTGAGACGGGGTTAAGGTGCAGAGCGTCTGGGGAAACCTTTCCCTCCATAGTACATGTGACAGCATGGGTTTCTTCTCGCCAGGGTCTCCACTCTGTCCTGAAATGTTATTTGGCCTCAAATTTATCATAGATAGAGCTTTCCACTCCCACCACTCGTACATCTGTACTATCTCCATCCAGGAGTTTTTGGCTATTTCATTACCTTTATAAGAGTCTGCAAAAAAGTCATATTAATACACTGTAAAAAATGAAATGTTGGATTTACTTAACCATGTTATGTGACCCCGTTCCACTTAACTGAGTTGAGTAAATTCAAAGCAATATACCAGTTTTTTAACCAAAGAACATGAGTATGTTGCTTTGAATTTACTCAACTCAGTTAAGTGGAACGGGGTCACATAACACGGTTAAGTAAATCCAACATTTCATTTTTAGAGTGTAGACATACTTTCTGCCTCGGACAACTGCACGTCTGGACGCACAACAGCTGGCTTGTGGAAGCGGAGTAGTTGAAGCAAAATGCTGCTATTGTTGTTTGAGTGTGTTTCTGCATAAACAAACACTCCCACAAACTTCTGACCAWTCACACAAAACTTCATGTARYCTACTGTGAGAGAAGGTTTGGCCCGGGCCTTGTGTTGAGAAGATGTGGACGAAGCTAGCCTGGCCWTTGCCTTTCCTACGAGGTTTTGRTCAACRCTAATCTCRCTTTATTGACATGGATTTCTTMGGCAGAATTTCAACCTGGCCAATCAGCGAACAGAAGGAGGAATTTTGAACYATGACATCAATTTCCTGCGCTGTTTAATCTGTCTTTAGTTTGGCAATGGCAGCGGAGGAAGTGAATGAAGCCAGTCCGTGTTGACAAGGCTTCTGAATTAAATTACATTAGTCTTGCAAAGCCTGCAGCGCTCATTTACAYCCGTCTCGTTTGGCTCGTTACGTCTCTCTTCCCAGTAGGGGATGGTTGTTTACAYRGCWCSCGATTTCTAGTTAGCTTCTTAGCATAGCTTCTTTCACGGTCGAGCTAGCYTGCTACACACATCATGYCCAAACGTTAGTGATTGGGTAGGATCCAGATCCAACAGAGTCCACACCRCCCAGCAAGCAGTTGTCTCAATAGCTGAGTCCAGATCCTCTGTTCGAAGCAAAGCAAAGAACAAGGGACTAGGACAAACGTAGCCTTAGAATGAAATGTTGAAATTTTCGTCATGCGTTTACGTTAATGAGAGACGGTATTATGGCTTCGAATGGAGTATAAAACGGACCAAACTCTGACCTGTACTGACAGATTTAAAGGTGTCAGGTTCAATTCCAGTTGTCCTGGACTTTGAACACTTGGATTTCTTTCACAATAGTTCAAAGTACAAGCCCGAATCATTGAGRATTTAGTTGCCCATGCATGGATTACCACAACATTTTTCAGCTGGGCCAAGTACTCAGGACTTTAGGCCACAGGTAATTGGCACCGTTCTTTCACACCACATTAGTTTTAACACCCCTCGTCAGAACTTAGTCACGCTTTCTGGAAATGACATCGAAGAAGACTCGATAAAATACCTTACATTTGTACTGGCTTGTTTTCAAAGTGTTAGCTTACTCTAAAGGATGAAGATAATATCCTGCAAGTATATTACAAACTAGGTGTGTTGTTTCCARCTCTCCCGCCACACTTTAAAGATGTAACCTTGCAGCTAATGTGAGTCTCTTTGTTTCTCCACAGTGGCCTCCTCCTGCATGACCCGCCTGTCCCGCTCTCGCACCACCTCGCTCTCCTCTTCCTACTCCATGGACGGCTCCCGCTCTCGCTCCCGCACCCTGTCTCAGGGCTCGCAGGGGGGCCAGATGCCGCCCAGCCCCTCCCAAACCATGGAGGTGTCCTGTTGAAGAAAACCAAAAAAATAATAATAATAAAAATACACCACAGAGAGCGTGAGAGTGGAGGAAAGGGAAAAGAAAAAGGGTGAAAAGCACGACGATAATGTAGGACTAAGACGAATGGGTTTCTTATTTGTCACTAAACGACTCCCGCCATTCCCCGCTAGAGCAGAACAGAGGCAGAGAGAGGGAGGGGGGACAGAGAGAAAAGCCGAGGAATTTCAGTGAAAGATAAAGAGAGCTGCCACACAAGTCCAATTCTTCTGTTTATACCCCCACCCCCACCCCCAGGTGAAAATCAATCCGCTGGTCGACAATGATGCAGTCTTTAGAAGCAAGAAGAGATTAAAAACAGGAAGGATGAAGAACAGGAAGTAGTCCTCTCTTCCTCCCTCTTTCAACCAATAGAGCCCTTTAATTCCCACCCAGAATGTGGTCTACACAAGTTTTCACCAGTAGGAACAAATCTGAAAACAGAACCGATGTTGGTGCTGATGGTGATAATGATGATGACGATGTAATAGATTAAAAAAAAAAACTATAACACTTTTCTCTTTATTACATGACTTTAATATGATATAGAAAAAAATTACTATAGCAGAGAAACTTACTATAATGTGTGTCTACGACTTTTTAAGCTAGTTTTTAATCGTGTTATGTTTTTTGTTATTTGGATTTTTTTTTTGTCTGATTTGTAACCTGTCTCAACAAGGGGCTGCAGCTACTGATTGGCCGAGCCCTCAGGTGGTGACAGCCAATAAAAAGCCATTCTAGCAACTACTTCTTCCTTGATGTTGCCAGGTTGTTTGTCTTCCATTGGCCCCCACTTCATYTTGTTTTTATTTTCTTTTGTTTTTCAATTGGATTTGAAGAGGTGGGCTGGAAACTTTTTTTAATTATTTCTTTTAAATTTTTTTTTCTGGACTGTTTGGACTTTGCATGCCTGGTGTTAGCCCATGTGAATATTCACTAGTTATTCTTTCTTTCACATTCTGGGAATGTATCTAGCGTGTGTATTTGTTTAGTTTAGGGATTAGAAAACGAAGAACTGCGTTGGTGAAACTTGTTAACTTTAGTCGCAAACAGAGAAGTGCTTCCAGTATTTCTGGCAGTCTGGTGTTGTCCACTACACACGTATGTTGCTCAGTGGCAGGTTTGGATGTTGTACTTCAAGCATTAAGTGGCCTGAATGGATCACTGTGTTCATCACCTGGGTTTTGATTTTTGTTAGCCTTTCCCACACGTGGATACCTCTTAACAAACCCAGCTGATTACTTGTGTTTATGTGCGCCATGAGGTGAAACGAACATACACTCCTCTTCACCAAGATCAGATTTTTGGAGTGGGGTTTTAAGAAAAGTTTGTTTTTTTTTTAATTCTCTGAGTTCCAAATACAACCTTATTTCGAGGAAATAGAGTTTAATTCTGACTAAATAAACAAGCTAACCGTTAGCATTATCCGATCCAAAATCAAAGTGGATTTATGTTGTTTAAAACCAACTGCAATCTTTGGTACCAGTATCAGTACCAGCTATTAGCTCACTAGTACCAACTATTAGCTCACTAGTACCAACTATTAGCTCACTAGTACCAA